GTTGATTACTTCTAAATTCTTGACGCTCGTTGTTGGAAGTCACGCCAATTGAATCCCGGAAGCTACGCCACTTAAATCCCGGAGGCACGCGCCATTTGAATCCCGGAGGCTATGCTATTTGAATCCCAGAGGCACTTCCATAGATAACGTCAGTGAAGAATTTGAGGACTAGACAGAGATTTTGTACCTGCATTGAATTATACACACGCTGTACACGGAATTTTGTGAATATATACAAAGTTTACTTTTTGTGTTTACAGGTGCATTTGGAGCCTTCAAGGACAGCTCATCTGATCCGAACCGGTCTACTACAGGCATCGGCTTCAAGAAGGGCATTAATCTCTATCGGAGGTGCGTCCAGTACGAGAGTCCCACAATCAACATTTTGCCCGAAGTTAGCGAGTCAATCTGCACATTGATTCCCTTCTCTCCTAATATGAGAGATTTTAAACATGTTAAGTTTGTTGGTGAGATCGAAGCAATCTTTAACCAGAGTCACGACTGTCTCTTCCCCGTAGTTCTCCCAATCCATGATTGCAACCACTGCCGCAGAATCCATTTCAACCCAAATTTTATCAAACCTTTCTCTCAAACAAAGCTGTAGACCCTCCCTTAGGCCCCACAGCTCTGCTGAGAAACTATTCGTAGCCCCCACTTTTGTTGCGAACTCCTTGACCCAAAGGCCGTTTTTATCCCGAATGAGCCCCTCGGCGCTTGCGATCCCCGTGTTAGCCTTCATGGCTCCATCCGTGTTAAGTTTTAACCAACCCGTTTGAGGGGGTGGGAGGGGGTGACCGCGCGATCCACTTCCAATTCCCATGTGAAACTCCTGCATGCTTAAAAAGGAGAAGCCTGGCTTCCTTAGCCATAGATAAAGTCGTCTGTATTACCGCACCGGGATAGCCAGCTTTGTTGTCAAAGACTAGCCTATTCCTTACTTTCCGGATTAACCAAGTGATATAGACGAAGGCAATATTTCAGGGTGTGTCTTCTTCCATCACTACTGGAAATTATGAAATTTCCGACCACCTGAAAGTGATCTTAAATCAAGTCAAAAGCCTTGTTCCGACCACTTTTGGTATCCGGAAAAACCTTTGTTGCTATTTCCGACCACTTTTTGGTATCATCTTGATTTAAGATCACTTTCAAGCGGTCGGAAATTCCATAATTTCCAGTAGTGCATCTTAGTCTCGCTCATGCAGTTTCTTTTAACCCATGAATTTAAAGGTCTGAGGATGTCCAGAGCTGTACCACCATGGTTCCTAGCAGTTTCCCAGCAATCTTCGGTGAACGGACAATGTCTGAAAATGTGGTATACCGACTCCTCTTCTTCAGGGCATCGTTTGCATGAAGCGTCCATTGTCAAGGTTCTAGCCTTCCTCTCCACTCCCGTGAGAAGCTTCCCTTTTAGAAACAGCCAGAGGAAGGTTTTGACCTTCTCAATACACTTCATCTTCCACACCCAGCTCCAGTTGTCGTCTTCACCGAGAGTGCCTGGAATATTGTTATAAGCAGAGAGTACGGAGAAGGTACCTGTAGTATTGTTTGGCCAGCGTAGTCGATCCTGTGTTGTTGCATCAACAGGTATTGGGGTGGCACGGATCTTGTTCACGATGGTGGGAGGCAGAATACCGAGAAGGACATCCACGTCCCAAGTGCGGTTTTGGCTGATAAAATCACTAACTTTTACATTGCAGAGATGATCGGGGATATCCACATTCGTTTCGAGGCCAAGGGGCTTGTCGCTGACCCACCAGTCCGACAAAAAATCCAGCGAACTGCCATTCCCAATACGCCACCGGGCTCCAGTCTCTATGACTGTGTGTCCTTTGGTAAAACTCTTCCAGGTCCAAGATGCATTTGACGGGGTGCGGGGTGGTGAAGAAGTTATTACCTTGAATGTACTTGTGGTTCATTGCGTTAACCCAGATCTTGTCCGGGTTATTGAGGCATTGCCACGCGAGCTTCGCTAGGAGGGCCAGGTTGAATTCTTTAGCCATCCTTAGACCCAGACCACCTTGCTCCCTAGGCCTGCATACTTCCCTCCAATTGAGTAGATGAATTTTCTTTTCACTTTCATTGGAGCCCCAGAGAAAGTCCCTGCAAATCTTATCAATGTCATTACAAGTACTTACCGGGAGTGCCACCGTTTGCATGGTGTAAACCGGGACTGTTGTTAGTGACGATTGGACCAGGACCCATCGATCGGCTAAGCTTAAAGAGTCGGCTTTCCACTTACTAAGCTTCCTCTTCATGTTATCAAGGATGTAGGAAAGGATCAAAGTTCACGGAAGGGAGAATGTGAGCCAGAAAGCATAAACAAGATACTAGTTTCTTTGAGTTGTGAAATAGAAGGTGTGCGAGACTTAATTGTAAATGAGTATATAGTGATATGAAACAGGAAAATTGTTGATTCAAAATGGCTTGTCAAATTCTGTGCAAAAAGGGATTACTAAATCAAGTAGGAATCAAGATCCCTACTCCTATTTTAGTTAGGATTAACAAAACCTTCTTAGAACCAACATATGACTCTTGGCATTATAAAAGCAGGTACTCATCAACACAGGAGGTCAAGCTTTCAAGATCTAACTGGTGAGGTACGAGAGTCATTGAGAAGAGACACCAAAATCCCCTAGAAAGTAGTACATGTGTTTAGGTTTCAATAGTTCGGTAAGAAAGATCATTCTATTGTGTAATCTCAGGATCCAAACAAGTGTACTTTAAATATTAAGCTTTTAGTGGATTTAGGCAAATTCTCAAATTGAGAAGTGCCTGACAGATTAGGGTTGTTTGCCCAAACTGCGTTACAGATCATTTGTGTTACAACGTCAGTTTTAACGTCATTGTGTGCTGCGCTTATATATATTTCAATTGGTATCAGAGCCAAACTGCTTAAGTTACTAGTAGGATCCTAATGAAATTTCCAAGAGAAGGACTATCAAACAACAGGCCACCTGCCCTATTTGGCACGAACTTCTCCTATTGGAAAGCCAGAATGAGAATATATATCTTGGCACAAGGAGAATGTGTCTGGAATGCTATAGAAAACGAATGGAAAACTCCAGTTGATGATAAAGGAAATCGAAAACCTAAAATTGACTGGAGCGAAGAAGAAAGAAAAGAATATGATTTCAACTCGAAAGCAATGAACGCCATCTATGGAGCTGTAAGTGAAGATACCTTCAAACTGATCGCCACCACTAGCATAGCCAAAGTTGCATGGGATATATTATGTAATCATCATGAAGGGAACACATCTGTCAAGCAATCCAAATTACAAATGATACAAACAGATTTTGAAAACCTGAAAATGGAAGAAGAAGAGAACATCACTCAATTTAGCGCCAGAGTTCTAAGCATCTCCGGAGATGCAATCAATCTAGGCGAACCTATTCCTGAACATAGGCTCGTTAAAAAGGTACTACCACTACAAAAAAAAAATGCAAAAATAGCGACGGACAAATTCCATCGCTAAATAGCAAAAATCCGTCGCTAAAGTGTTTAGCGACGGAATTCATCCGTCACAAAAACACGCGTCGCTAGAATCTGGCTTCCAACACTCGACATAGATGAAAATAGAAAGTATGCCTTGAAAACAAAATCACACGAACAACTCACAAGAAGACATTGGGAATACACACCTCCAGAATTTTGGAGTTACTCCACATGGATCTATTTTGACCTACTCAAACAGAAATCATAGGAGGAAAAAGGTACGTCTATGTGACTGTTGATGACTACTCACGATTCACATGGGTAAACTTCCTTAGAGAGAAGTCCGAAGCATTCACAACCTTCAAAACTCTCATCATCAAAATCCAAAATGAAAAGGATGGTAAAATAGGAAAAATCATCAGTTTAAGAAGTGATCATGGTAGAGAATTCGAAGCCTCAAAGTTCAGAGAGTATTACATAGAAAATGGAATTCATCATGAATTCTCCGCTCCAAAAACACCCCAACAAAATGTAATAGTCGAAAGGAAAAATCGAACTATCCAAGAAATGGCAAGGGTTCTTTTAAATCATAAAAGATTATCACCAAGATTTTGGGCTGAAGCAATAAACACCGCATGTTACTTGATAAATCGAGTATATATACGAAAAGAAACCAACATGACACCTTATCAAATCTGGAAAGGAAAAGCACCGAACCTGAAGCATACTCATGTCTTTGGGAGCAAATGCTACATATTAAAAGATAGAGAACCATTGGGAAAGTTTGATATCAAAGGAGATGAAGGAATATTCCTAGGATACTCATCAAATAGCAGGGCTTACCGGGTATTCAACTTCAGAACAAACAGCGTCATGGAATCCATAAATGTTGTCATTAATGACACATCTTCAGATGAACTCACCACTGATGAAGAAGGACCAAGTGCTGTTGAAACTCTGGACCAGAAATCTGAAACAGAAACAACAGAGAAACAAGAAACAAAACCCATTGAGGAAATTGAAGAAAGTCACACTACTAAGGACACAGAAAAATCATCCCTTAGAAAATATTATAGGAGGACTTAATGAAGGGATCAAAACTAGAGGAAAGAAACAAGATTATCGAAAAATGGAGGAAGGAGACTACTGCTACACTTCCAAAATAGAACCTAAAAACATTACTGAAGCCTTAAATGATGAATTTTGGGTGGAAGTCGTTCAAGAAGAATTACAACAATTTGAAAGAAACAACGTCTGGGAGTTAGTCCCTAAACCTGAAAAAGCCAATATTTATTGGGACAAAATGGATTTACAAGAACAAAACAGATGAACAAGGAAACATAACAAGAAACAAAGCTCGTCTAGTAGCACAAGGATATACACAAGTTGAAGGAACAGACTTTGAGGAAACATTTGCCCCAGTAGCCAGAATTGAATCAATTCGGCTCCTCATAGCAGTAGCATGCATACTCAAGATAAAACTCTATCAAATGGATGTAAAATCAGCATTTTAAATGGCAATTTAAAAGAAGAAGTCTATGTTGGATCCTCATCTTCCACAAAACATGTTTAAACTCAACAAAGCTCTATATGGGTTGAAACAAGCACCACGAGCGTGGTATGAACGACTCACTGAATTTCTAATCAAAAAGGGCTACAAAAGAGGAAGAGTTGACAAAACCCTATTTGTCAAACACTATGGTCAAGACATTGTCATTGCTCAGATCTATGTTGATGACATAGTTTTTGGATCAACACTTGAAAGCCACAAAAACCAATTCATCACTAACATGGAAGGAGAATTTGAGATGAGCATGGTAGGTGAACTAAACTACTTCTTAGGCCTACAAACAACACAACTAGATAATGGGATCTTTGTATCACAAAGCAAATATGCAAAGAACCTAGTTAAGAGATTTGGTCTAGAAGAAAGCAAAGTTGTCAGAACACCTGTTCCAACAACAGAAAGGATTTCAAAAGATTTAGAAGGTAAAAAGGTTGAGCAAACTCTCTATCGAAGCATGATAGGAGGCCTACTGTATTTAACTGCAAGTAGGCCAGATCTAAACTTTGGAGTAGGAATATGTGCCAGATATCAAGCCAATCCTACCGAACAACATCTAAAAGCAGTTAAAAGAATCATTAAATATGTCAAAGGAACTACCGACTTAGGAATTTGGTATTCTTTCGATACCAATCATCACTTGTCAGCCTATTGTGATGCCGATTAGGTAGGAACCATAGATGACAGGAAAAGCACCTCAGGGGGATGTTTTTTCCTACGAACAAATCTAGTATCTTAGACAAGCAAAAAACAAAATTCGATATCTTTATCAACAGCTGAGGCAGAATACATTGCAGCAGGAAGTTGTTGCACACAACTACTTTGGATGAAACAGATGCTAGAAGACTATGGAATTCATCAATCAACTATGACCATTCATTGCGATACCAAAAGCGCAATAGATATTTCAAAAACGCAGTACAGCACTCAAGAACAAAGCATATCGATATCAGGCATTAGGCCTGGGCACTTCGGTTCGGGTCACCCGAACCAAACCGAACTGGTTCGGTTCGATTTGGTTTCTACCCGAAGTACCGATCGGTACTCGATAAGGAGAAACCGTTCTGTTCGGTTCGGTTCAGTAAAAAACCGAACCGAACCGACAAACCGATCAGTTTTTTTTTTTTTAAATAATATTTATTATATATAATAAACTAAAATACTAAATAACTAATAGTCTAATACTTCTTCAGTAGTTCTTCAGATCATCTAATAACCCTAATTCCTTTCATCATCGACACTCACCCCCTCGCACTCTCGCCCTCCGCCACCGCGCCACGCCTCCGCCACCATGCCATGCCTCCGCCATCCACTATTCCTCATCTCTTGCTGAGTTGCTGTCACGCACTCACGAGTCACGCCTCTGCCATAGACTCAGACCATAGTTGAAGAGTGAAGCCCGAAGAACACCCGCGACCAAGGTAATGTTTGTCTTTTCTATTTTATATTTTTTAGTTTTATAGTTTATACTTTATAGTTTATACATTTTTTCGATTTCTTATTTCAATTTGAATAGTCTTGAATTTTGAATTAGGGCTTTTATTTAGACTTGGTGTTCTAGAATTTCAAGTTCATTATGTTCTATACTTGTAAGTTCTAATGTTGTATATGACTTAATGTTGTATATCAATTTCATTAGGTTTATTAAACACTTTATTTCAATTTTCTAGTTCACTGGAATTGAACTGGAATTTTCCCTTCAATTCCAGTGAACTGGATATCACTGGAGTATTCACTCTCCAGTTCACTGGAATTTAAAGTCCAGTTCACTGGAATACCATTCCAGTGAACTGGAAGAATATTCCAGTTCAATGCCAGTTCACTGGAATTAATTCCAGTGTTACATACTTACATTCCAATTTAGAATGACTCCAGTCAGTTACAGTTTAAGTGGATGGCCCGTTTACATTTCAATTTGATAATGTAGATGGATGATTCTTTATCTTCGCATCAAGGAAACATTCCAAGTGACACTCCAAGTAGCACTCCAACTGAGCCAATTGAAGAATCGGTGGGACAAAAAAGAAAACGTACCAACAGTGGACTTCCACCGAAACCAATTGCTCCAAGGTCTGAGGTATGGAATCACTTTACTAAATTGGAGGACAACAAGGATAAATGTAAATGTAAATTACTACTTTAAAGAATTTAAGTGTGCAACAACGAGTGGCACTAGTAGTTTGAAATCACATAATCAAAGATGTGCTGCATTTAAGGACCATCTTGAGAGTGCAACCCAAAAAAATCTAACAATACATGAAAGTGCAAGTGTTGTTAAAGGTGGTAGTAGTCATCTTGTGGCGGTTGGGTTTAATCAAGAGGCTTGTAGGAGGGCAACTGTTAAGATGATTATTTTGGATGAATTGTCATTTTGTTTTGTGGATGGGGATGGGTTTAAAAAATTCTGTAGTGTTGCTTGTCCAAAGTTTATTATCCCTTCACAAAGAACAATCACAAGAGACGTAGTTGAATTGTTCATGAAAGAAAAAGCTTTATTGAAGAGTGTGATTAGTGAGTCAATGGTTTCTTTAACTACTGATATATGGACTGCAAGTACTACTACTGTCAGTTATATGGTTATCACTGCTCATTATATTGATGTGAACTGGCAGTTGCACAGAAAAATTATCAGTTTTAAACCAATTTCTGATCATAAAGGTGAAACAATTGCAAAAGAACTTGAGAATTGTTTGATTGATTGGGGTATCACCAAAGTTTTTACTATCACAGTTGACAATGCATCTGCTAATGATAGTGCACTTAGGATTTTCAAAACTAAAGTGAAGTGTTAGAGAGAGGATCCTTTGATACTGGTGGAGAGTTTTTGCATGTGCGTTGTTGTGCACATATTTTAAATTTGATTGTGAAGGATGGTTTGGCAGCGGTGGGTAATAGTGTGGTTAGTGTTCGTAATGCAGTGAAGTATGTGAGATCATCCAATTCTAGATTTTATGCATTTCAAATACGTGCAGAGCAAGATAACCTAAGTAGAGGGAGTTTGATTTTAGATTGCAATACTATATGGAATTCTACTTACCTCATGTTGATTCCAGCTTTCAAGTATAAGGCAGCATTTGATCGAATGGCTAATGATGACAAGTTGTATGATGCTTACTTTAAAGAGGATGAAAATGGAAAGAGAAGGGTTGGGCCGCCATCATCAATTGATTGGGAGAATGTCCGACGATTGGTACAATTTTAAAAAAAAATTTATGATGCCACTTTGTCTTTTTCTTCATACAAAACTGTGACATCTAGTCATTGTTTTGATGATATATGCACAATTGAAGTTAATTTGAATGTTTTCAGTACTAGTAAAGATGTGAATATGAGTGGCATGGCTTTGGAAATGAAGAAAAAGTTTGATAAGTATTGGGAGGGGTCTGAGATAAATAAATTGTTGATTGTTAGTAGTGTGTTGGATCCGAGGAGCAAGATGAGTTTTGTGACAATTTGTTTTGAAAAATTGTATGGCAAAGATACACCAAAGTGTAGTGAAATGAAAGAAGCAGTAGTGGATGTCATGCGTAAGTTGTATGAGGTATACAGTGCATTTTATGCTAAACCAAGTGCAACTACAAGTCAAAGTGGTGGTGGAAGTGAAAGTGGATGTGAGAGTGTAATTCAATCTTGTGTGACTAGTGAATTGGTTTTAAATGTTGGTGATGTCACACCTATTGGGAGTATTTTTAACACGTATGCCACCGATTTGATATGTGAAAAAGGAGATGTGCAACAAACATCAAATGAGTTGGATATATACCTGATGGAAAAGATTGAAAGGCCAACTCCTAATAGATTGAGTATGAAATTTGATATTTTGTCATGGTGGAGGAAAGAAAGTATGAAATTCTCAATCTTGTCACAATGGCACGTGATGTTCTTGCAATTCCAGTTTCTAGTGTTGCATCAGAGTCTGCCTTTAGCACTTCAGGCCGTATTTTAGACCAATATCAGAGTTCTTTGACACCGTATATGGTAGAGGCATTGATTTTGACACAAGATTGGTTGCGGTCTTCACTCCAATCTGATGCAACAGTAAGCTTGGCTCAGATATTAGAAAAAACTCAGTTTGTGGATATGCTTGCAGAAGGTAATTGACAATTCTATATTTTATTATGAATTTATGTATAGTATATACTATATTAGTTTATGCTTCAATATTTTATTATTTTAACTTGTTTTTGAACCTTTTGTTTTGTTGTACAGAGATTCGCAAATCAGCAGGGCAACTTCATATTGATCCGTGATGATGGATGAACAACTTATCAACATATGAGTTTGGAATCTGGATTGCTATGTTGATTGTGATTGATTAGACTTTGGATTTGGGTTATTTGATGTTTTATGTTTGTAATCTTTAAACATTGGATTTGAAGTTTGAACTATGTTATGCTTCATGTTTGTAATGTTTGAACTTTGAACTTTGAACTTTGGATTCTAAGTATGTGATGTTTTGGTAATTAGATTGCTATTTGTATGTGATGTTAGTATTTAGTAGTACGTCTAAACTTTGAATTGTTATTTTGTTATATAACATTTAGATTTTAGATGTGGATTATGTGAATAGTATTGTTTGGTAGTATGTTTGGAAAATTAGGAAATGTTGAAATTTGGGGATTATAAAGTCTTAAATCCGAACCGAAGTCCAAACCGAATTAAATCCGAACTGAAACCGAACCGAAGTCGAACCGAAGCCGAACCGAACTATATATTAAACCTAACGGTTTGACTTTTCTAAAACCGAACCGAAGACCGAAGTGCCCAACCCTATCAGGCATCACTTCATAAGAGAACTAGTAGATGATGAAATTATCAATCTCACACACATTAATACAGAAAATTAACTAACAGACATCTTAACAAAAGCTCTTGACGGGAACAAATATGAAAATTAAGGGCCGAAATAGACCTGTGCATTTTGTGAAGAAAAATAAAAACATGGGACGTCTCTACAAAGATAAATAATAAAAGGGGAGCCCATATCTCAACAATCAAAGCCCAAACCCGAATCCATGTCTAAAATTCCCAAAATTAAAGCTGCCGTCATCATCTACCTAAGACCATCTACCATCTACCTAAACCGCTTCTCCCACTCCATACAAAAATCGACAATGGTGAGAACTAGAAATCAAAGGAAGGGGAAGATACCTTGGAGAGGCATCACTCCACAATACACCGGCACTAGAGCGTCCTGGAACCCACTGTGCGTTGAAGAAGAAAGTCCCAACACCATCATCATGGGCCCGGTCCCAATTTCTCAAGTGCCGTTCGAGAAAATTCAAGAACATCAAAACCCTAGCCCAGCTAATCTAAATATTACAGTCAAATTGAATGAAGAATTCTCAATTTGTCTACCCTCAGTAGCTATTTCGGGGGATAATGCTGTCCAACACCCGAATGATAACAATCTTTCGCCCAACACCATTCAAGAAAAAGAAAAATCTGAGGAAGAACAATGTTCTAACCCCATGGACGAAGAACCCCCAGAAACAGAGGTGATGAAACAACACCATCACCACCCTCTCTATCAGATAAAGAACAGAGAAAAAGGAAAATGACTGACCCCTACGAAGGGGCAGACCCTAGGGCTAAAAATCCAAGTGACTTCCCAATTTCAGCAAGACCACCTCGAAAGTGTCCAAATATACCCCCTCCGAAGCCAAA